GAGGTAAGTGCAAAATAGTCCATTAATTATAATATATATTATTATTGTACTCATTGTCACATCCCCTCAGGACTTTGTTAATGTTTAACCTGTGTTTAAACTGACAATTGTGTTAACTCTCACTGAAAGGGTCTCTCAAGCAGCAGATAAGCCCTCTTCATTGTTACTGTTGTTTAAATACACTGATTTGCAAAATGAACAGTGAAAAGTATTAAATTTAATTATTACAATTAATAACAAATCCACACAAACAGCAACTAATTGTTGCCCATCTTTGAAGGAATGCAGTATTTTTCAGGTAAACTTTGCAAACAAAGGCAGACTGTTGCTTCTTTTCGTTTTTATTCATGTTAAATTTAAGTGACTGTATGACTTCAAACACACAGTTTCAGACGCACCAGGATTTCAGTTTCTTAAACCTCTGCAGCCACATGTGTTGCATCACTTTATTTTTAGCAAACTGGCAATTGTATTTACTCTCATGAAGCATTTATTGGCAAAATGCAAGTGGAATTTTATCATCCTCATTTGTCATGGTTTGAAGATTTTTTTTTAAATGTATGGAAAATTAGACCTGCCCTCTGATATCATATGTACTGAGAGGTCCACAATTACTCAAGGTTCAACTTTGTTTTATACATAACGTTTAAGCACAATATACATCTGATAGATTTATTTTTAATTCAGTTAAAATGTTAATCAGACTGAGAAATATGATTATCTGAGTTTAAAAATAAGCAAATATTGACAGTGAAATTCGCAAGCTTAGAAAGTCTACAGCAATGTATAGCAGGAAATAAACAGACCATATTATAATATACATTTGTATGCGCCAGAAGAGCATGAAACTCCACTTCCGGGATATTCTAGACACATGTTTTTTTTTAAGATCTCCACAAAATTTAAGAGAAAAATCAGCCAGATCTACTCACAAGTCATGACGGTCTGTGTCCAGCGGACAGAGAGTTCTGTCAAGGGAGAAGAGATCTGACTCGCACCCTGCAGAGGATCACTTCAAATGAAAATAAGGCAGATTTTCAGATCTATTTCTGACCCCCGGGGCATTCATTATTCAACAAGTCACGTGAACAGGGCGAATTAAAATTTCAGTACATTGGAAGTGACCTCTATTCGCGAATCAAATGACTTCAAATCTTGTAATTGAACTAGTTGGACTTCTTGGAGTCTGCGCAAAATTGGTGCCAATCAGACTCAACGCCATCTTCTGCACAGCTCCCATGTCTGCAGCAAGTGCTGCACATATAT